GCTGCCACGTGAGGGGCGCTGCTCCAATAGGCCTACGCCTCTCGAACTCCTCCCACCAATTAAATGCAGGCCCTGTGAACTGGAAGGTAGTAAAAGCCACTCCACTAGACTCCAGAATACCCGCAGTACGAAGCATACGCTGGCACTTATCGAGAAAACCCTGGGCATCCTCGCGCTCAACACCACTGAATGTCGGGGGCTGAAGCCTACCGAACCTCTCCAACCGGCGCTGCTCGTCATCCGGCATAGCTGGAACCATATGAGCTGGAGCTGGTGCGACTGGCGCAACTGGATCAACTGCTGCAACTGGTGCAGCTGGCTGAACTGGCTGAGCTGGAGCTACTCCAGGTGTCTGTAAGCCCTGAACAACCTGCTCGGGTATGCGAGCATCTGGGGTCTGATGACCACCCCCGGTCTGAGAAGTAGCCGCCGCTGTAGTAGCTGAAACCGCTTGAGCCACGCCAGTGCAGACGGACAAGATCTGAGCCAAAGCCTCCTGGAGACCAGGAATCACGATGGGCACTGTCGGTGCCTAAACAGGTGCTGCTGGAGCATCTACAACTGGAATTTGACCCTGAGCCTGGTCAACTGGTGCTAGAATCTGACCCCGAGTCTGGTCAACTGGTGGGTCAGCAAGTGCTGTTCCTGCTGCCCTGCCTCTACCGCGACCACGGCCTTTAGGTGGCACTGGTGGTCGTCCGCCACGTCCGTTCACACGGGTTCTCGCCATCTGCGAGAGAATAGAATACGGAATTTAGTTTTTCAGAATAACAAGCCGCACGATTTGAATTTCAAGAAAGTGAAGTGCTTCCTAAAGGTTCTGTAGCCTCCCGAGGATAGATACGGACGTCTACGTACCGATCCGCGAGACCCTACTAAACCGGCTCATGACTCGCGAGGCCTAGTAACCTAGGCTCTGATACCAACTTGTCACGACCCCAAACACGGTCGTGATGGCGCCCAACAAAAATCGCTAGGCAAGCCAGACCACAGTCGTTACCAAATCAAACGTAAACCTCAACTACCGACAATCTAAAGAGAATATAGTAGTTTTAGAATAATAATCCAATATTTATTGAAGAATACTACTGAGAAATACGAAGTCTGATAAAAACACTCCCAAAAGATCTGGGGTCACGAGTCTAGAGCCTCTAAAACAATCTGAATAACAATATCTGAACGAAAATACTCAAGTCTGGAACTGTATATATAAATAAAACTGAATTAGGAAGAGTAGTCAGGTCCTGCGAACGTCAAGCAGCTACCTCAACAACTCTGATAAGCTCTGGGAAACAAAGACTGCTCAGCTAAGCCTCCGGTGTACCTGAATCTGCACACAAGGTGCAGGGAGTAGGGGTGAGTACTACCGACTCAGTGAGTAATAAGCATATAAAATGTCTGAAGATAAGAAATCCACGAAATGCCACAAAGCAAAGCTAAAACTAACAGTCCAACACGTAACTACGAACTAACAGCAAAACAACTTCAAGTATATCAGTCAAGTATAATGTAAAGATGCAATGCAATGCACATGACCGCTACGGCGCGTAGCCCGATCCATTTAACGTCGACGGCGCTCACTCGGGGTGTGTACAGACTCCGGAGGTGCTCCTTCAGCCCAAGCGCAATATAATCATACCATTCGCTGCGGCGTGCAGCCCGATCCATACTCAGTCCACAATATGCATATGAGTCACGTAACAGATTCAATTAATTTCCCAATTTCCAATTTATTAAGAAGAATATACTTTAGATATTTAACTTCAGGAAAAGTGACTTAGCGTTTCATAACAGTGATTAAACACAGGACTGAGATTAATGATTATACAAAGCATGCTATCACAATGACATTCATCCTCTAAGGATGCTACAGATCGGCACAAGGCCCCAAACACGGCAATAAGCCCAGATATATTCAATACAGGGTGCGTATCAGTCACCAATATAGAAATATTCTTGTTCGGGATGGACTAAGTCTCAATCCCAGTCATAACCAATCCCGCACCTGCCATGGGGTGCGAGTCACGCCCTACAATAGCGTCACAATGTGATAAGCCGGGGTTTCAAACCCTCAGGCCATCATATACACCAACTACTCACCTCTATCCGGCCGTAGAATGGTCGCAATGCCTTTTCCTTTCGTATCGACCTCCTCGCGCGTCGAATCTAGTCAAAATCACAACGAATACATAAATATGGGTTAAAGAAACATAACCCAAACAAAAATACTCGAAAAGTACTAAAATTCACGAAGTTGGTAAAACCCGAGCCCCGGGCCCACTTCTCGAAAAATTCCGAAAATCACACCAACGGATTCCTCATCTCGCCACGAGTCCGTGCATATAAAGTTTACCAAAATCGGAGCTCGTTTGACCCTCCAAATTCTATTTTTACATCACAGCTTTCCAAGCCCTAGCTTGACCCGTTTTTGATAAATTTTCTACAATTTACATGTAATTTCTACCATAGATTCGAATGTTTAGGCCAAGGAACTTACCTCCAAGTGATTCTCAGTCAAAACCCTCGAATTTCCTTGTTCAAAGCTCTTAAGAACGTCAACAATGGAGGAAAATATGAAAGGGTCGCGGATGAAATATTATTTTAAAACCCTTCTGTCGCCCAGTCCAGTTTTCGCTTCTGCGGTCCCGCTTTCGCTTATGCGGGACCGCTTCTGCGGTCACTTTTCCGCTTTTGCGATCTTCACTTAGAAACCCGGACTTCGCTTATGCGACGCGAAGTCCGCTTCTGCGGTTCCCTCAAAACCGCTTCTGCGGTACAGTGTCCGCTTATGCGGACCCGCTGGTGCGAGCCACCTTCCGCTTCTGCGGAATTTCCCTAGCCGACCAACGATCTCTTCTGCGACCAAGTACCCGCTTCTGCGGTACCGCTTCTGTGGTCCATTTCCGCAGAAGCGAAAACACCAGATGACAGCAAAATCTGACTTGCAATACACCTCAAAACTCTCGTTTGACCACCCGAATTCACCCCGAGGCCCTCGGGACCTCAACCAAATGCACAGATATATTCTATTACTTCATTCAAACTTGCTCGTAACATAAAAACACTATCATAAACACTAAAATCATCGAATTACCACGGATTCAAGCCTAAGTTAAACTAAAACTTCCGAAACTTGCATTTGATCTAAAACCCGACCTAAACACCTCCGAATGATATGAAACTTTGCACGCATATCCAAAATCACCTAAAGGAGCTACTGCAACTCTCGGAATTCCATTCTGACATTCGGATCAAATCTCACCTACCATCCGGAATTCGCCAAAATCCAACCTTAGCCCATTCAAGCCTAATTCTACACCGGACCTCCAAATTCAATTCCGATTGCGCTCCTAAGTCACAAATCATCTCCCGAAACTGGTCGAATCATCGAAAATCCATTCCGAGCATTCTAACTCATAAGTCAACATTCGGTTGACTTTTCCAAACAATCCTTCTCATAAAGAGACTTATTGTCTCATTTCCAACCGAACTCTATCCGAATTACTTCAAATTCTCCAAACACATATAATGAAACATATAGAAGCATAAAACGGGGAAAACGGGGCGGTAACTCCCGTAACGACGGATCGAGTCGTTACACTATCTCTGTCTACTGTGCTTCGTGTTGGAAAAAGCTAAAGTTAAGGGGCTTGAGTGAAAAGTATTATCTTTGAATCTGCATCTTGACAGCTGCTATTATCGTTTAGTTACTGAGTTACATATATGTAAGCCATTCAAGCAACTTGATGAGTTGGGAGATATTGTTTTGTTATAGAGTATGCTAGTTTTTGGATTAACCGGACTGATTAGGCATGTCAACCAGCTTCCAATGAAACATTATGCCATTATTCAACGAGGAACGGAGTAAATACTGAAATAGGTAGTCTTCATACTGCTGCACAGTAAATAAATTTTTGTCTCTTTCCATCAATTGCTTGACTTCAGCGTTCAGCCTCTGTGAGCTTTGGCAAAGGCCATGGTAATATATATCAGCACTCTTAATTCTAGTTTTACCTTATCGGGTAAACCGATAACCGAACCGACAATGATCAATAACCGATTAACCGATAATCGATAACCAATATCTTATCGGTTTGGTTATCGGGTTATGATATTTGTAAACCGATAACCGATAGGCAAAACCGATAATATTCAAAACCGAACCGAACCGACCGATGCCCACCCCTATTCTAGGACATTCCATGTGTATAAAGTGGAGGAGAGATACTGATAGCACGTCGTCTTCTTCCTCTTCGAATAGAATGAGATGTATCAAAGTAGAAAGAGAAAGAAAATAATGTAACTGATTAGCATATTTAGTGGCTTAGGGCTAGGAGGTAACCAAAATTAAATATTTTGCTATAAACCTTAAAAGGTATCTATAGAATATAATTTTTTAAATGGTATTTATTTAAAATAAATAAGGTATTAACCTTTGCTATAGGAGGTAAAAATTCCTAAAAATAAACACACCGTCAAGATGTATGAATTAAACTCTTAGACCTTGATAAATAGTTTAGTTGTGGCATTGATTAACTGAAAGAAATCGTAATTTTGTTTTATTTGATTGAATTAGATGTCTGATATATTAGAGCCTTTATAATTTGTTAGATATAGTTAGTGTTTTATAGGCTAATTAGTACCTGACAGGAAAAATTTGTCATCTTTGGAATAATATAAGTATTTTTAATACGTTTGTTTTAAATTAAAATAGTTTTCAAATTTAAATTGATGACTGCTAATAGGTCCCTATCGGAAAGAACCTATTAGGAACAGATAGCTTTATTATTAATATTAACAGGCACTTAAAGTATACAAATACACGTTCCTCCTCAGAAGCACATATGATATATAAATATATGTTTATTGGCTTTGTAAAATTCTGGAGAAATTCTGCTATTTTCGATGTAGCAATATAAATGGGAGATTTAAATTCTTTAGGGACAATGATTTATGACAATGATTACATTTATAGTTCTCCTAACATAATTTGCTGCTGATGAACAATAAATTACTACAATACTTGTTTATTCATTGGATGGATTAAAAAATGGAGGAACAAACAAAAGATTACTCCATACACCCGGTAATGCACAAGCACAACAGGACTTGTTAATAATGCTTCAACTTTTCAATATACACAAACAAAATAAAAGTAAAAAAGAAAAATCAAGAAAAGGAATGATAATATACCAACCAATGAAACAATAGTAACATAACTGATCCAATAAAATAAAAAATTATTAGTACTAATGGTTTTGGGTAGGCTTATGACACTTGTCTTTGATCCACTGAAAACCAGCAGTAGCACCTGATTTTACTTTCTTGACCCCAGTTGAAGCTACTGATTTAGTTTTCCCAAAGGTGTCTCCAACTTTACTGGAAATCTTATTTGAAGAACCATTATTTCCACTTTTCTTGTCATAATTATAATTACTTGCAGCTGGCTGTGGATCCCATTGATCTGCCCATGATGTTTCCTGCGAATTGTACGCTGTGTAGTTGTTATTTCCTGCCATGTAATTATATGAATCCTCAACTGCAACAAAATATTTAGGAACAGAAGAAAACAGAGAGAAGGAGTACTTTAGTTTCTTGTTTGAATCTAATGTGATGTTAGTTTGGTCCTATTTATAAATGCCGATGGCTGGCGCGTTATCAACTTTTTGACAAAACGTGTGGCTCTGGGTATTAAAAAGTCTTGACTTTTAAAACTTTAGAGCTGTCGTGGGAATAAATTAACGAAGCTTCTTTGAATGGGGAAATTCAAGAATAAAATTAAAATGGGAGAAATTATACTTTAGATAAGTTGGTATTACCGCCAAAGGATGTGGTATAGTGGATAAGATTGTTGTTCCCTCAACCAGAGGTTTCGGGTTCGAGCCCTGGGTATGAAAAAATCCTTGGTAGAGAGCGCTTACCTCCAAATAAGGCCCTACGCGGCGCGAATCCGAATATAGTCGGGTTCCAATGCAGGTAAGGAACACTGGGTGAGAAACAAAAAAAAGTTGCTATCTGCAGAGAATTTTCAGCGCATGACGTGGTTTTTTTTTTTTTTGTAACCAGATGTATTTTCACTTCGTATTTTGTTAGTGGTCAATTTTGGATTCTTCATGTTTTGGTTTAGCTATTAGTTTTATTTATTTCTTTGTTAGAACAGCTGAACAGATACGGTGTTAAATTATAGATCAAGTGGAATAATTTTGACCGAAGACTCTGATTTATCTACGCGTGTTCTTATTCAAAATATGAATAATTAGACTGTAATTCAACGAGACTTGAGATTACTGGATTAGAAGGGAACATAATAGACTTCTTTTGTCATCAATGATGTTTCAGTTTAATTCACTAGGATCGTGAATGATCTAGTACATTCTAGATGAGTGCTGAAGCAAGAAAGTTTAAAAGAATTAGTATATTGTGTTTGTGGGGAATATTTTTTTTTTAAAAAAAAGGAACTTTCCAAGAAAAGAAAAGAGAATACGTGTCCATACGTTGAAGTCGGTTAACGAATCTTCCTCATATACTTCTTGTTATTGTGTATACATTTTGTAGCCGTCCTTACAATTTTAGGTTAGGCTTAGTGCATATAGGTTAGGTTACTAACATAATATTTATTGGTTGAATACATCACAAAGAAAGGTGGTTTAGGTGGAAACCATGAGATTACATTCCACCTAGGGAGGAGATTATATTGAGATGGTTTGAGTGACAGCGAGTGACAACAGTCGTGAAGCTAAAAGCTTAGAGAGTGACTAAGTTAGTTAGGTAACAATTATGTAGTGTAGGATAGCTAGTTAATTAGTTAGTGATTTAGATGTTAATTATATATACACCCACGTCTATAGTGTGTTAGCTGAATTAGCCATTGTAGTCATTTACATTCTCTGCAATTGAGATTCAATTTCTTCCAAAATCTTCTTCTTCTTCCTTCGATTCGATCTAAGCTTCAATGCTCCACCCATTAATGGTGGAATTTATCAATAACGATCTTAATTACTAGTACTAAATAGGTTCTAATTTAATATATATATATATATATATATATATATATATATACATATATATACATATATATATTTAGTGAGTTTCATTATATAAATATAGATTTTAAGACAAATTTACTTTTTTAATATTAGGATGGTGAGTAAAAAGAATTGAAAAATTAAGCTTAAATTCTTGATGAAATTCTTGATCACTTAAGGTTAACAATAATATTCTAAGTATTAACTTGAGCACGCAATATGAAGTTAAAAGTTAAGGCAGTAGTAAGAAAAATAACTTTCATCAATAAGTGAGGCAGACCATTTTAACCTTTTTGATAATCAAATACTAGAAAATTTCTTTCTCATAGAAAATATTTTCTTAGAAAATAACTTCTGTCATACCAAATACTAAGTCAAATATCCCATAACAATATTTCACATTCATCTGATTTTTGGATTCAATATTTTCTCATGTATATATACACAAGATACAAAGTGATATCAAGGAGTATAGAAGGGGCTATAGACCTGCCTTACAAGAAAAATACTTGTAATATTTTTAGTGTACTATGAAAGTTCTTAGTCCAGTTGAGATTCTCATGTGTTTCTGTTGACAGTAGATCGGCTATGGAGGAGCATAGTGTCGATACACCCAAGAATGCAAGTGAGATAACCTAGCTGATGCTGGGTGATATTATATTTCAGTCCTTTATGCTTTACATGTCTTCTAGAATATTCTAAGGGTATTTATGTAAACTCACGTTTGTTTAGTTAGCTAGTGGAGAATTTAGGCGGTTAGGTGTGTGCATTAATTTTGTATATAAGTATACAATGTACAGCTGTAAACAGTACAAAAATAATGAGAAAACAGAAAATTCCAAATTCATCTCTCAATTTCATTTTCTGCTCTAACATGGTATCAGAGCAAAGGTGCTCGATTCTCTATCGTATCTTCTAGATTGTTCTAGATTTTTTTACAGACTTGTGTGATCTGTGTTTAGATCTCAGTTCAGTTTCAACCTCGATCTTCTGATACTGTTTTTGATCTCAAATCTCCTCCAATTCTGTCTATTTTTTTTCCATTTCTGCAATGGCGGACGAGAATCCTTTTGCAGAAAATCAAATCGTTGTTGAGAGTTCTCATCCTTTGTACTTGAGTCCTTCAGACAATCCTGGAATAAATCTGGTGTTTACTCTATTTGATGGGACTGGATATGCAGATTGGCGAAAATCCATGTTGATTTCCTTATCAGCTAAGAACAAGCTGGGACTAATCAATGGAAGAATTGCTAAACCTAGAAATGACTCTCCTTACTTCGAGCTTTGGATACGCTGCAACGATATGGTGATGGCTTGGTTATTGAATTCGTTGACAAAAGGAATCAGATCCAGTGTTCTGCACTCAAATTCAGTCAGGGACCTTTGGAAATAACTTGAGGACAGGTATGGACAATCTGATGTAGCTCAATTATTTGGCCTGCAAAAGAAACTGTTAGAGACTACACAAGGTTATAATGACATAGCAGCATATTTTAATAATATAAAAGCAATATTGGATGAATTGAATGCACTGGATGCAAGATTTCCATGTACTTGTGTTGAATGCACGTGCGAAGCAAAGCATAAGAATAAAGCAATTGAGGAAAGACAAAAACTAGTTCAGTTTCTTATGGGCTTAAATGAGACATACACTACTTGTAGAGGAAACATTATGATGATGAACCATGTGCCAAACATTGATAAGGCCTACTCTCTTCTCCTTCAAGAAGAAAGGCAGAGATCTATCCAACCTTTAGTGATGTCACCTATGGATTCGAGTTCTTTTAATGCTTCTACACAAAAGTTTGGTCAATATACTGGACAAGGCATAATGACTTTTAATGTAAATGATGGAGGAGGAAACAAGTATAATGCAACAAAGGGAAATGACAAAAGGAATATGTTCTGTTCTTATTGCCAAAGACCTGGGCATACAGTAGAAAGATGTTTCAAAATTCATGGTTATCCAACAGGTTTTAAGACAAACATGCAAGGAAATAAGCCAAGAAAATTTCAGAATTCAAACATTATACAGGGAAATGCAGTGTCCACAGAAGAAGATCTTATTGACATGCAAGGAAACTCAAATCAGGGAACTCAACATAACAGTATTTCACCAAGTATTGTGGGAATAAGTCAGGAACAATATTCTCAGCTTATGAAAATCTTACAACAAGTCAAAATTGGTCAACAAGCTGCTTCAAGTTCTGAAGTTAATGTGACTGCTAATTGTGCTGGTATAGCTCCTATTCTACCTTCTTTACTTCCTGATAAGTCCTTTATACACTCATGGATCCTTGACTCAGGTGCTTCTGAGCACATGACCTTTGATAAAGCCATTCTATTTTATATCATAGCCCTAACTCAGCCTTTAACCGTTAATCTACCAAATTCTTTCAAAATCAAAGTCACTCATGCTGGAAAGGTCTCTCTATTTCCAGACATGTTTTTAGACAGAGTCCTATATGTCCCCTCCTTTAAATTCAACTTGTTGTCTGTTCACAAGTTTTGCTACCAATTTGGTTGTGATCTAATTTTCAGTGCTTTTCTCTGCTCTATGCAGGGCCTTCCCTTGAAGAGGCCTTTGGATCTTGGTAGACTCAGTAATAGACTGTACATCTTACGATCAAAACACTATCCTTCTGGACCCTTAGTCAAAGCAAACAATACTAATTTTCCATCTACTGCAGATACTAGTATCAACTCCTTTATTCACTCTATGTCTAATTCTGTTGATCATTGTCAAAATGTGTGGCACATTAGACTAGGCCATATGCCCATTACTAGCATGAAAAATATTGCTACTTTACCACATTTCTCTATCAATAAAGCCACAACTCCTTGTACAGTTTGCCCCTTAGCTAGGCAACATAAGCTGCATTTTCCTAACAGTTGTATTTCTTCTACCAAAATATTTGAGCTTATTCATATTGATACATGGGGCCCATATAAAACAGCCACCCATGATGGTTTCAAATATTTTCTTACAATTGTGGATGATTATAGTAGGGGAACATGGACCTATCTTTTGAGCACAAAAGGGAATGTTTTTACCATACTCAAATCTTTCATTTCTATGGTGGAAAGACAGTTTAACACCAAAGTCAAAAAGGCTAGGTCTGATAATGCCTTGGAGCTTGGCTCTAGCATCAGTTCAACTGCCTATTTTCTCTCCAAAGGAATTATTCATCAAACAAGTTGTGTTGCTACACCTCAACAAAATGGTGTAGTATAGCGCAAACATAGACACCTCTTAGAGGTATGTAGAGCCCTCCTATTTCAGTCTCACTTACCTATTGTCTATTGGGAAGAATGCTTACTTACAGCCACATTTCTAATCAATAGGTACCCTTCAAAGCCATTGAATTATAAAATACCTTTTGAACTCCACTTTCACAAACTACCTGATTACTCATTTCTTAAATGTTTTGGCTGTCTTTGTTTTGCCTCTACTCTGCCACATCAAAGAGGTAAATTGGATCCAAGTGTGGCTCTTGGATATCCCTTTGGTAAAAAGGGATACAAGCTTTTGGACCTATCATCCAAACATATTTTTGTCTCTAGGGATGTGGTATTTCATGAGTCTATCTATCCTTTTGCTTTAATCTCTACCACTGCCGTCCCTTTGTTTCCTACCATGTCTTTACCTACTGATTCACATGACACTCTTCCTATCAATGTTCCTGTACCTTCTTGTAACGATCCGACCGGTCGTTTTGAGCTTTTGCGCTTTGGTAGCCAATTCTCGGGCATGACTTGCCTCGTGTAATGTGTTATGACTGATGTAGATCGTTGGTTTTGATTTTCATGGAAATCGGTATGAATTTGAAAGAACAGTCTTAGTTGAAAGCTTTAAATTTGAAAGATTTGACCAAGAGTTGACTTCTTTGTATATGAGCTCGGATCGGAGTTTTTATAATTTGGTTAGCTTCGTTAGGTGATTTGTGACTTAGGAGTGTGATCGGAAGTGGTTTTTGGAGGCCCGTTGTAGAATTAGGCTTGAATTGGCAAAGTTAGTATTTTGGCGATTTCCGGTTAATAGGTGAGATTTTGATCCGAGGGTCAGAATGGAATTCCGAGAGTTGCTGTAGCTTCGTTGTGTGATTTGGGATGTGTGTGTAAAATTTCAGGTCATTCGGAGGTGATTTGGTTGGGTTTTTGATCAAATGCGTGATTCGGAAGTTTTAGAAGAACTTAGGCTTGAATCCGATGTAATTTGATGGTTTTGGTGTTGTTTGAGGTATTTTGATGATTGGAACAAGTTTGAATGAGGTTTTAGGAGGTGTTGGTGCTTTTGGTTGAGGTCCCGGGGGCCTCGGGGTGATTTCGGATGGCTAAAGGGAAGCTTTTGAACTTGGGAAATTTCAGAGTTTTTGCTGTTGCTGGTATTTTCGCACCTGCAGCTTGGGGACCGCAGGTGCGGTGTCGCACATGCGGGGGAATAATTGCAGATGCGGTTTTGGAGGAGGAAGGCTGGAACCACAGATGCGGTGGGTGGCCGCACCTGCGGAGCCGCATATGCGACTGGTGGACCGCAAATGCGGTTTGGGCCAAGAGATGATTTTCGGCAGAAGCGGTCGAGGTGGCCGCATCTGCGAAGCCGCAGATGCGAAATGATGTCGCAGAAGCGACTTCTGGGATTTTTAATGAATTTCCGCAGAAGCAGACTTTTAACCGCAAATGCGGTACCGCAGAAGCGGTGGAGGGGTCGCAGATGCGAAAACCCCTGGGTTGAAGGTATATAATTCATCCTTCGCGATTTTTGAAGGGTTTTATCATTTCTAACTTCGGATTGAGGGCTTTTGGGCAATTTTTAAGAGGGATTTCAAGAGAACTTCGATAAGGTAAGGATTTTTGACTCAAAACACAATCCTATGGTGTTATTTCATGAATTTAGACTGAAAATTTAAGAAATCATGGACTAAAAATGGTGGTTTAGGGCTTGAATAAGAGAGCCAAAATTGAGGATTTGAAGGGTCAATTGAACTCAGATTCTTGTGTTTTTGATATGTATAAACTCGTGGGGAATAAGGAACCCGTTGATGTAAAAAATTTTGAGTTTCGAGAAGTGGGCCCGGGGCTCGGGTTTTGCCAATTTCGGGATTTTTGATATTTTTCGATTGTTTTCGCTTGGGCTTTGTCCTCTTAGCATATTGTGACGTATTCGTTCTGGTTTTGGATAGATTCAATGCGCGGAGGCCGATTTGAGGGGCAAAGGCGTCGCGAGCTAGACTCAGCCGGTGCGAGGTAAGTAATGATTGTAAATACTGTCCTGAGGGTTTGAAACCCCAGATTTCACATCGCTGTGTTACTTTGAGGTGACTTACACGCTAGATGACGAGCGTGGGGTAGAGCACCGCTGGGGATTGTGACCTAGCCCATCCCGAACGATGATTTTAATGCATATTTGATAGTTAATTGTTGATGTTATTATATTTTTGGGCTGCATGCCATGTTTGGGGCCTTGTGCCGACTTGTTGAGACCCTTAATGTATTTTTACTATCTCTCCTCACTCTATTTGTTTGAAAGCATATTCTCAGTCATGTTTTACCTGTTTATTACTCAAATCTGGCTTTATCACTATATTCTTATAATGTGGAAACTGTTTTGGGTTGAGTTCCCTGTTTTATTGAGATAGACCGAGGGTCTGATTGTGAGATTGATGACTGAGATATACTGAGGGTCTGACGGTGAGGATAATGACTGAGAGAAGCCGAGGGCCTAGTTGTGAGGATTATATATCTATGGATCGGGCTGCATGCCGCATCAATATATATATATATATGGATACGGATCGGGCTGCACGCCGCAGCAATACTTATGTCGGGCTGCACGCCGCAGCAATATTGCGCTTCGGCCGTAAGGGGCCCCTCCCGGAGTCTGCACACCCCCAGTGAGCGCCGTCGATGAAATATATGGATCGGGCTGTACGCCGCAGCGATATATGGATCGGGCTGCACGCCGCAGCGATTACTATATGGTACCTATTGAGCGTGAATGCTGAGTACAAGTACCGATTGGTAAGAGTTGAGTCACGAGTGACAGAGAGGCTAGCCCGAGAGGCGATAGATATATACATGCATTGAGTGATGTTTGCCTGAGAGGCCTGTTTATGAACTTTTTGATTTCACTCCTCTTTAAAGTGAGTTTCTATCGAATAGGTTGATTTATTGACTGTTTTCACTCATCTTTATATTGAGCCTTTGTCGGAAAGTTGAACAAATGTTTTAAGACAACTTTTATTTAAACTGGGGTTTATGAGACGTTCAGAAATTAATCACTGATTTGGCATTTGGTTATTTCCACCGAGATTTTCAAGTTATGAAGTGTTATGATTACTATTTTGCCCGAGGGGCTGTTTACGAACTATGCCTTGCCCGAGGGGCCAATTATGGCTTTAATCTCTATTATTATTTTAAATGGTATTGAACCCCTACTGAAACTACTGGAAAGTATTTTAAAATGATTTTTACTAAAAGCTGGATTTTAAAAGGAAAGGTCGACTCGTATTATGATTTGAAAGCATGTTGTGTTTATTAAGCCTAACGTGAATGTGGATTCATTGTTTCCTACTGCTCAGTCTTTATTTATTCTTATTACTTACTGAGTTGGAGTACTCACTTTACTCCCTGCACCTCGTGTGCAGATGCAGGTATTTATTCACCCGGTAGCGGGTTTTGGCCGATTGGAGGCAGAGCTATAGGAGTTTAGCGAGGTGACTGCCAGCGTTCGCAGCACCGCTTCTCTCTCTGTTGTTCATTATTCCTGTTCAGTGTATTTTTAGACCTTGTAGTTGTGTTTACACTCTTATAGATGCTCGTGACTTGTGACACCCCGATTAGGGCTGTGTTGGGTTGTACTTCCGCTAATTAATATTATTAGATCATATTTAGACTGCTTATTCATGTTTAACTATTTTTTTTTTGAAAAGGCGATATGGGTTAGTAGACTGGCCTTGTCTTCACGAGAGGCGCCATCACGACCAGAGCGGGGATTTGGGTCGTGACAAGTTGGTATCAGAGCCTAGGTTACATAGGTCTCACAAGTCATGAGCAGGTTTAGTAGAGTCTCGCGGATCGGTACGAAGACGTTTGTATTTATCCTCGAGAGGCTGCAGAACCTTTAGGAAAACTTCGCATTATTGAATTCTTATCGTGCGTCCTTGATTCAGCTTGGAAAGTAACTCTTGAAATTCCTTCCATGCGTTTGCATGCGCGCATGAGCGCTCAGTATCAGATGTGCCTTGATGGCTTGTGATTCCCCGGTGAGGGGCGAGATGTGATTTTTGTGAGTTGATGTTGGGCCAGTCTGAAGGACTTATGGCCGGATCTTTGCCTATGGCTTGAGCACCGAAGTGCTGATTGTGTGAGTAAGTGTTTTGAACTTATATGTTCGGTGTAGTCCCTATTAGTGGAAGTGACGGCTGGATAGCCATGTGACGAGTATGTTAGTACTGCAAGATGTATTTACGTGACTTGGAAGTGACGACGAAGGTCTGCTGGATGATAAGAGAACTATTAGGTGTTTGAATTCCATCGTGATTCGAGGTATAGTCCCGAGTTATGAGCGTGTGAAGGATATTTTCATGTGTTCTGGTTGTGAGTGAAGTAAAATCCATGTTGCGGTATGAGTTCAGACTTAGGAAGACTAAGTGAATGCGGACAGTTTATGACGGTGGAAGGTATACAGAAAGGTTATATTGAGGCGAAGCAGGTGGGTTATCTCCTGCGGAGCGTTTTGAAGTGGTGTGATCCCTATGTGTATGTTAGAAGATCTCATGTGTAATTGAAAAGTACGTGTTGAAATTTGAAATTTCGAGTCGCTTAAGAGAGTGGGCTTAACTGTTGCGGGGATGAATACGAGATTTGTAGAAGATTTACAGTACTAGATGATTTGTGTTTTCACAAACTTATAAATGATTTGAGTTTAATCTCACTATGGTATTGTGGCATTAATAGAGTAAAAGTGTTATGAGTTATTGAGTGTATCTTGATCTATGGCTTCGAGCCAAGTGGGGGAGTCTGCTGTGAGCAGTTGATTTCACAGTTAGGTGCTATGTTGGTTCCAGTTTGGGGCGTGCGAGTGAATTAGCTATGGCTAGAGTAAAGGAAAATTTTGACAAAGGTTATATTATGCTTCATAGGGTATGAGAATCACAGAGTGTCTAGAGTTGTTGTGGTAAAGAATGCTCGGTGCATAGAGCAGGAAGTTGCTTGGTTGTATTGGGATGATGA